TAATGCCCTGTTACGAATACTATGAGAGCACCAAAACAACAAAAAGAAAAAATTTCCAAAAATTATTCAACATTTGATTGTAAAGACTCTTTACATGGAATACAAGGAAAACATTTCTGTAATAGCACCAGCACTATGAGATAGCGCCAGATTGTGCTATAATAAAAGTTTTATGTTGCAATGCCCAAAAAAGGGGCAAAATTTCAAAAAAAAATATGATTATTTTCAATGTGCATGTTAAAAGCTAATAGGGAACCTAGATAAATCTAGCTGGAAACGAAAATATTTTTTTGCCAACCTGCATGGGGAAAAATGTGTCTTGAGTCTCTAAAATTTTAATTGTCACACATCCCTGTCAAAATCTTGCTGATTAACCAATGTTAAGAAATTATTGTAGAAAATTCAGTATCTCCATAATAAATTAAAATTTGGTGTAGTCATTAGACCATTCTGTCCCCATTTTTAAAGCATTGGACTTATGATTTTTATTCAGATTCACGGACCAATACTCGTTGAATATGATATTATCCAATAAATATTAGCAATAATTTTATATTAAATTATTTTATGGTATGGCGGGTGGTGCATCGAGCTAAGCATCAGAAATGCAGTTGCCACCGCCCCTCTGATTACTCTGCATGTGTTCACAGGTTCGATTTCTGTGAAGATAATTAAGTGCTAGAGGATTGCAAAACCCCTCAACACCGTAGGGGTGGATGAGGTAACCGCTGGTTGGTTACGGCTTCCTCCACCATCAAGTCCATGCATCTGGATATAAATAAATGGCTAACTAATCTTATACCCAACATTGAGTGGTAATCTAGCAAGAGGCGGTGGTATAACATATCATCTAGACCATAGGTTCTCAAAGTGCTCCGTACGGAGCCCCAGGGCTCCACGAGAGTAACCCAGGGGCTCCGCGAGCTATTCGATTACTTTTCAAAATACTGGCTTGGCTGATTTAAAACTGTTCCTAGAAGCAATAACAGCTTTGATGAAATTTGACAACAATATAGCCTAGAAATATGGCAAAGGGGTGGAATTAAAAAATGACATTATTTTTATAAGCAGGAGCGCAGCCAGGATTTTTAAGAGGGAGGAGGTTCAAAATTGGAATCGGAAATTTACGCGCAACATTCTTGGCAATTAAAAAAAAAACGGATAACGAGATTTCTGTTGCGTAAAATATTCAATTCATGACCGATGCGAGCATCTAAATTCTAAAGTGTCTTGTCGTAATAATTTAATTGTGCTCATCGTTACTCACGTTCGATTCGAAATTACTATTAGGATTACTAAAATGATAAAATACTATTCTAAAATAATATAAACTGCGTGATAAACTGCTAACTATAAATAAATTGGAGTCGTATTTTTGTGATCTTGGGATTTGTTAAACTTGATTTGTTCTTTCGCACTCGAGATTATTTTTAAGCAAGATGTCGCCGTTTGAAAAATCACAAGGTCTTGGCAAAATACGAACGATTGAAATTTATTTTAGTGCATGCGGCTCTGTCGGTAGTTTCAGAAAGGAAAAATGGTACACCGCGCGCATAATTAATTGACTGTGTTTCAATTTCGCAGTTACTACGATGAATAACCGAAAACCTAACATAACACCAAATTTATGATTTACGATGTCTATAACAGCGTTTTTATTCTGACGTGAGTCTGCTGAAACAAAACTTATAGTGTTATCTCCCATTTTAAGTTTTAGTTCTAATATTTTAGAATGCCGCTTTTTAAACAAGAAATTTGAATTGCGGATTTACCTCTTTATTAACTATTATTTTTAGCATTTCGTCGCCGATGATTATAATATGGTAACATGTTTTTCACATTGAACTCATAATTCCCCACGAGATTTATTTATGACTTCTATTGACCCTAATAAAAGTGTTTACCTTACTCAGGAATATTAATCGGAAAGTAACAATTTTAACATTTATTATGGGGCTCCGTGAACATTAGTCAACCTTTTCAAGGGCTCCGCAACGCCAAAAGTTTGAGAACCCCTGATCTAGACATACTAAACTAAACTCCTAAACTGTTCTGGGTAGCTTTTGTTGAACTCCAACATTTTAAACAATTAAAACCAGAGTCCTGATCTGGATTATCTGATTTTGTGCAAGTTTATAGAAAATCTAACAGTCTTTAATTGACAGAGTATGAAGTTTTGTTTTTATTTATATATAACGACATACAATATTAAAGTGGTATCAAGTTATCAACCAGCAACTCTCTGGGTGCGCCATTCGATAGTTATAGAAACATAAGGATAAGATTATGATGGATAATAGAGTATGAATATTAACATTGGCATAAATATACAGCTTAGAATTTTGAGGTTTGTCACAACAACATTTTCACAAGCGGAAAACATCTTGAACGCTATCACACAGAAGTACATACAATGCAAAGCAGCAATGCTTTCAGGTAAACATTAAGTTTTCTATTAAATGGGATATAAGGTATAACCATCATTGACTATACATAGTTACTACACATAGCTTAACTTGGAATTTTAATACCTGAGTGAACTATAATAATTTGTACATGTGAAGGAAAGACTTCATGACATACGAATGGTTCAAGGACTTTCAAACCCCTGTAACTGCTCCTATGCCTATGACTTATCTTTGAGAGGACTCACTTTTATCACTTAAGTATGATCAATTCTTAGGCATAGCCCAGGGTGGTCCCAGGTTGTCAGCTTCGGAGGCCAAAAAATTATTTTTGCATTCGTTCACAGGCCACAATAATGCAAAGAATGAGTACCGTAAGCAGCGCAATATGAAACATATACTTTTTTCGCGTAAACACATTGACCATTATTTGTGATTTATCGAGCTAAAACATGGGAAAATCACCATAAAACTTCATTAAACATGCAAAACACTTCCTAAATCAACATTTAGTATAGGATTCCAGGTTCTTTAATAAAAAAAGTGCTTTTGCTAATGTAACATTGATAAGATTCCCAAGACAAATTCCCGTCGAAAAATGCTCATTGCTCGCAAGATTCCGAAACAGATTGTAGATTTTAGATTGTATTTTTTGGCACAACTGGCGGACATATCAAGCATTGTGGTATTTTTCTTCTCATATACAGTTGAAAATCTGTCTGAACTTTCTTTTCAAACTCACAATTATAAAATAACTTACAAATAACTACAGTTTGATTGATTACCAACTTTTGCCAAATGTGAGGGTACAGGAGGGTAATTACTAAATTTTTCAATACAGAGGTGGCAGTTTTTGTAACACTATTTAGGCTGGACTATGTTGTTAGGTTCGGCCATAACAATAATATTTAGCTTTCAGTAAGAATACCCAACCTAGCCTAATAGATTCGCCATTCGATTTCTAGTCTTCTATGTTGCCTATATTGTTAGCATACATTCCCGTTTGAAAAGATATAAAGCTATACAACAATTTAGACTAGCTGACCACATTATTCAACTTTGCTGGCTATTGTACCAGTCAATTTAATGACATTAGTGATGTGACAATATGTTAAACGATTATTCTGGTTATTTTTTTTGACTAAAAAACATCAAATGATTTTTAATTACATTCCAGCCCATGCTGCAGGCATGATAATCATGCTGCAGGCCGTGGTTTGGACCCCCATGGCATAGCAAGTCCCTCCATCACTTCCCCTTCCCAAACTTTCTCAAGAAGATTTTGCGGCATTTGCAGTGAAACACAAACTCGCGAGTTTTTTCAACACTATTCCGACTCTACGGAAAATCTCATCTTGTATTTTGTCATCATATTGGTGAGAGCTGAAAATACCGCCTCACACATGTAGGCCAATGCATAAGACAATAAAATTTTAATTCTGCATGAAACTGGTTCAAGGCAATTTTGGGGGATATGATAATAAATTCATTCAACATCAGACGCGATTGACCACTTAAAACATGTCGGCCACCCATGGCTCAGTCCGATGGTTTTTTGCTTTTTTCAATTTCCCCAAAGTGTCTGAAACACAAAAAAAATTCTCCTGCTTTCCCAAATTAATTTTTGTTATATGCTGAGAAAGTCTGGACGGTTTTATTGCTACATAAAGTTTTATGATACAACAAACGCATCGTTGCAAACCAGAATAAGCCATATTGGAGGTAAAGCTTACTACATTGCCTACATTTTCGCTTTGCAAACTCATTTTGGAGCTTTGAAACTAAGGCTATTATAATGTTTCAATCTAAATCCATTAAATAAGCTGCATTGATCACTGTCTTCGATATTATCAACTTACACAACACAATGTCAGACACTTCATGACATCGCATCAGGCTAGATTTTAGCAATTCGAGAATTTAGGTATTAGATATGTAAACTAGTTATTCAATGACCCAAGTAAGAAAATGACCCAATTTTGTCGCAACGTGGAGATGGTACCATTTTGATATCAGTGCTCCCTATCGCCCAGATACACAATCAGGGGTCTCCAATTGGCTAATTTGCAGTCAGACCCCCCAGTTGTCGCAAACAACAACCGCCCTTATGAAGGCAATTTTGCCCTCTCTGCTTCAAACGAACCAATCAAGATAGATTGGATAACTTCGACAGCGAAGTAAGTTTGTGGAGACCTTCTTTAAATTATCAGTGGCAGCTTGTACCTGGTCTTGTTTGGAGTGAAAAGCACGAGTGAGTCAGTGAGTGTGAAAAAAAATTAACCATTCCAAAATTATGGGCGAGCTACGTCCTTGGACTCATCACATATTGCAACCAAAGTGATTTCCCTGATACTATAGCGAAGGGAAAGTTAGTCTGAGCCAGTAAACTTTGATTTTAAATCAGAGCCTTCATCTTTGCGTAGAGTAATAATTTATAAAAAATTATTTTTATTGTTATGGGGATGAGTACAAAATAAGAATTGATTTTTTCATTAAAAAAATTTATTTTGAAAATCATGCACATCACAACCAATGCTTGAAATTATGATAAAATATTCCGATCACAATCCACTAAGTTTAGAACTATATGTTTACCTTTAAAGAAGAACCCTTTAGATTTGACTTCAGGATATGAACCAACTCGGCATTGAGATCACAGTTTTGAAGACGAACAGATTCTAGTTGGCTGCAACGTCGCATGACCAATGACATGGCATGCATTCCGACTGTAGTGAAGGATTCGTGTGAAAAATTGATGTCCTTGATGCAGGAACGAATAAGGACGGTGTCATTAGCTTCGTATAATGTCCCAAACAGCTCCAACTTTTCATACGATTTCATTTTTTGACTTGATTGAAATGCGAGAAATTTTCTTAGAACCTCTCTTTTATCATCTTGTCTGGCACCTGGTAATTATAAAAGTATCATGATTACCATATATGGTAGACGCAGGTTTGAATTGTGTGGGGATAATTATGGACATAAGGCATAATTGGACTTCGCAGAGTTATAGAGTGAAATAAAAAGTATCTGCTGATTGGTCATGGTTTGGTCATTCACTAGACTAGAAGGCCACAATTCAGTACATGATAAATCCTCCTTGTTGACTTTTCCTTTAAAGTAGTTAAATCCTAGTTGTCAAACTAATTCAAAATTGGTGTAAAAGACATGATCACATGAAATATTACTTAGAAGAAATATTACCAGAAGAAAAATTTGTTATGAGACTGCTTTCAATATCAGGATTCAGAATGATTCCACTTAGAAAACGACGAACAACTGCCCAATGATCGTCTCGAATCTCAGTTTCGATAAAGGTGCGAAACGTAGTAGAATCCATGCTTGAAATATAGAGAGCGGACAATACTTCTTGAAGGATTTGATGGCTGAAGAACATTAGATGGTCTCCTTCCATGAGATGCTGATTGAACATATTTTTCCCAGGTACCTTGATGACAAAGTCCCGAACCTCAAGAGGACTAAGCTTTACTTTTTCGAGATCCTTGATTGTGAAAATGACTCGCTTTTCTTTTGTGCCTTCGAATGACATTTGCATCAGTTTCTGGAGTATTTCTTCAATATGTTCATTTTTATGGGCATGATCTGATCGCATGAAGATGTGGAGGATTTGTAGCATTACCGCAGTCATAGTATCTGGTGGATTATCTGGGTTGTCCTTGCAAACGATTGCATTGAATATTAGGAAAAGAGGAACAGATGATAACGGGATAAGTGCGGGTGACTGCACTGTTAATTTCTCCCAAGCTTTTTCACCGCTGTCTCCTATAATTGCAATGAACAAACGCTCGATATCATTTTGAGCCAGACCAGCGAGGGCAGTTATGAATTGCGGCCTCAATTCTGATGGGAGTGATGCCACTCTGAACTCGCGCGATGAAATCACGATCGTCATGTCAGGAAAGAGATTGCCTGTTATGATATTGTACATGACAGTTGCTGTGCTAGATTTATCATTATATTTCATCTTGTTGTGTTTTCCGAGAAGACTCCAAGTTGCTTGATCAAGTCCGTCAAGAAAAAGAATTGACTTTGATTGATTTTGTTGCAGCCGTTCATAGCCTTCTTCCAATTCTTGTGGTGATAGTCCTGAAGCTTCTTTTCCAAAAAGAAGTTCACATGGACTGATGGCTTCATCTCGTGTAGTTCCTTTCAAAACGGGGATATCTTTGATGTTCAAGTGATGAATAAATTCAAAGCGATGTTCCAGCTGCAATGCTTCATCGGCTTGGGCTTCTTCTCCTAATTTGTTTATGATATGAAGTGTTCGTGCGAGGCGTTTCATACTTGTTGATTTCCCGCCCCCTGCCTGTCCCAATATGGCAATATACCTGTATTTTTTGTTGCCTAATTGTTCTATGAGTTCATTCTGAGAAATAGGTTTTCCAACTTTTTCTTCATTTGCTTTAACAGTGAATCCAGTCTCGATATTATATTGCCTAGTCTTGGGGGCCATTCCTCCTCTGTAGAAAAGTGGCACTTCTCTAAGTTGGGGATTTACTTCAAAGTCTGGTTCGTTTAGGTTTAGTTCTTTGTAATCTTCTGTGATTTTCACTTTTGTTTGCTCCAGGGTTCTCTTGTTGAAATAATTGATAAATTTTTTTGCATGCTTTCTTCGTTTCCTTTTTGCCTTTTTAACATTTCCTTTTTTTGTACGGATTCCTGAATAAGATATGAATGCATTTAATATTCAGGTTAAATAATGTTGTTATTGATATTGACATTATATACAGGTCTATACAAATATGTGACTTAAGAAAGTCAATGAAATCAAGTATTTTGTAAATGTTTTGAATTTGTACTTTGGTAATTTGAATGTGTTCATAGAAATAAACTCATTTTCTGGTTGTTTATGATGATGCAAATGTCCAGCCTTCACCCAGCATTCAATTAATCAAATATGAAATTCTTTGTTTTATCAAATCAAAATAAACACAAAGCATTAAAATAAAAAAGAATGAATATGAACGAGGTCTTTTTTGACTAAAAGTCTATTTTGCTTGTGTTTTTGACTGTGCGAAACATTTCTAAATTTTAAAATAGGACCATAGAAGGGCAAATTGTAAATACAGTTTGCAGCAGACATGTGAAAATGTGGGACTGAATATTTTCTTTGTGAATAAAAAACATCCTCAATATGTACTTGATGATAAGTCCGTTTTTGATAGTAATTTAAGTGGATGCGCTGGCAAGAAAGCAAATTTCTTATGGACCGCAAAAAAACAGCAGACGGGAACCACTGAGCTAGAGCAGTATCGCGTTGATCGCTCTTCATTGTCACATAATTGAGATAGCTCTTGAATATTTGAGCGAAGTAAACTAAAGCAATATCACTCTCGCACATCTTTCAAATCTAAGTGCTAATTATTAACAACAAGCCGGTAGGCAGGGATGGCCAATACCGAATAAATCACAATTTCGAATACATTCAAAATTATTATTTTCGAATATGAAATTTCGAATACTTCGAAAATAAATAAATAAATGGCGGAATTAGCATACAATGAATAATGGAATAACCGTTAACTACAAGCTGGCTACCAGAAAATTTATATCCGCCGAATGCCGTGATATTTTATAGTACTAGTTTAGGTATGAGAGCGCGAATCAAAATTAATTATAATAGGGCAGTTTACCATTAGTTTTGTGTCCACAGATTGCCGTGGTATTTTAAAGTTACTTTAATAAAAGACGACGCAACCATGAGTTAGGCTACATTGAACAAAAGTAAATCAATACTGAAGGCATTTTAAATGATGTTTGTAAATTAATACTGAAGGCATTTTAAATGCTGTTATCGGTCATGGATTTACGGTGAATATTTTGCACAACAGATAAGTCCATACTTTTAACAATCATTATCAAAACTATTTGCCGAAAGAGGGTAAAAGTATAAATTATTTTTTTGTGAGTTCGAAAATATGAATCAAAAATCGTAATCCAGCATTTTACCACACACTATATATTTCCACAGATTATCGCGTTATTTTAAAGTTTGATGCTTTAGTTTTTCGTAATTATAATCAGGCAGTTAACACACATTTTATGTCCACAGATTGTCGCCGTATCTTAGACTTAGAGTAGTAATGCATTAATTTATTCGTGAGTCGGCAAAACTATGAGTTACGTTAAACACAATTAAATTAATACAATGAGTCATTTTAAATGCTGTTATCGGTCATGGATTTGAATATTTTGTCGCAACATAAAATCGTCTTCGTTAAAAGTCAATATTTTCAACTATCATTATCAAAATTAGTTTTCTAAAGGCGTGAATTTGAATATTTCGTCGCAACGGTAAATCATCATAATAAAAAGTCGATACTTTTGACTATCGTTATCAAAATTATTTGCCAAAAGCGGGAAAAAGTTTAAATGATTTTTTTCTAATAAATCAACTCGTTTTTCCGAACTTGAGACAATTTATTGGGCATCGTAATTTCTAACAAAGCGCACGACTTAACTTATTTAATATCTGACTATTTGTATTTATGCGAGACCCGTGACTCAATACAAATGAATGCGTAAATGAGAAGCCTTGAGGGAATGGCGATAGTGCCAATCTCGCGACTGTGCCAATCTCGCGACTGTGCCAATCTCGCGACTGTGCAAATGTGTCGCAACAATACGGGGCTCGCGCTCGCACAGAGGATAACGAACAATCAAAGTGCCGATACTATTTCACCGTCATTGCATTACGCGACAAAGCGTGCAAAATCGTTTGAAGATTTCTCTTTAAAACGAAACACCATGCTGACGGCAAAAAGTGGCTATTGTTCGGAATTATTCGAAAATCAACCGAACAGATATACATTCGAATATTCGATTCGTTTTGGACAACCCTGCCGGTAGGTGCCTAAGATCTTCGCTGATACTCGAGGCGGCTCTTACTCCAGCAATCCGTTACCATCCATTCAAAATTGCACCTATTACAAAACCGTACTACGGTGACCGCGTCACCAATACTATTCATTTCAAGCGCTGTTCGTCTAGTCCACATTCTTGCATACGTGGTGTGGTATACTGGGACTAACAAATAAAACATGTTTACTAAAATTATTAAGACTTCTCCAGTTTTTGGTTTATTGAGATGAACAATGGCTTGTTCGGAAAAGTATTTCCTGCCGCGGAGGGTAGCGTTCTCAAAATTTCAATTTTTGAAATAGTTAACCAGAAAACAGTAGAAAAATGTGAGAAAATTTGAAATTTCCCAACGATCGGCGTGTTTTTTGCTGCTGCCATGGAAACGAAACATCCAATCCGGACTTTTGGTAAAACGCACATTGGGAGGACAAATGACCCAATGTGAGAAATTCTATCCAGATCGGCCCCGCCCCAGGAGACGCTACAGCTAGACAAACAGACAGTACGACTGGGAATCGGGTCGCCTAGATCGAATCATTACAAGTGTGTCAATCTGCCTAAACTAAGTATGCAAAGCACCCTGTGTCTGATAACTAATAGATATTATTATACAATTACCTGATGGTGTAGGCACCACTTCATAGACTGGACATGGAAAATCATTCGAAGCAAGTTTGGCATCAGTGAATCCCTCCATTGTTTGAGCTCTTGTAGTTTCACCTGAAGTAAATTATAAATATATACTGAAATAGTTTTCTGAATCACTGAAATTATTCTAAACTCATTCGAATCATATTTTAGTATGGTGTCGCAAATGAAGGCAAATTTGAACAAAGCATTTCTAAGGTAGCGTTAAGACATAGAGCATGGGTAGGCAACCTTTTGTCGTTCGCGGGCCAAAATTAAAGGTTGCAAATCATTGGTGGGCCGCACATATTTTTAGAATGTTAAAAACCGAATGGATGACCGATGAATCACATTTCATCACACAGATCAGAAGTTAAATTTGAAGCAGCGCGCGAAGACTGACCATTTGAATATTTTTTGCGCCATTAAACTATTTGAACTTAGCATCAACTTTTCAGCGTTTTGTTGTCATTTGCCTAAATTATAATTAAATTATAGGCTCATTAAACGAGTAATTGTGAATTATATACTTGTTACGTTATAATATAATTCAGTCTACACGTAAATCGACAAAACAGCTATAATTTGTTACTATAATTCAGTGAAGCGTCGCGGGCCGGATTATATAGCTCCGCGGGCCGGATCCGGCCCGCGGGCCGTAGGTTGCCGACCCCTGACATAGAGTGTTCAGAATGGCTTGTTGAAAAATGAAATAACTCTACTCAAAGGGCATAGTCTGTTTAAAATCATCCCAACTCTGATTACCATGTGTGGGTTCGAATTCAGTGAGGGACAATTATGCAAGAATATTGCTGGACTTCTCGCCGGCGTAGGGTGGTTCATGTAACCGGTGGTCGGTTACGACGCCCTCCACTATCAAGTTCATGTATCTGAAACAAATAACTGCCTAACTTATCCCATACCCGAAATGGACTGTAACTGGAGTAGAGGCCATGGTTTGCCATACGATGAAGTCATTTTATCAAATTTCCTCTCCCCCAAGATAAATATAAATAAATCCTATCCTGCATTAACATAAAAACCATAGTCAGCGTATACAAAATAAAGAAATACTAGTCTTTTTACTAAGCTCATTGGAACAAGCATGACTGATTAAACAGAGTTTTAAAATCTGTCTTATACACAGTAGAAGCCCAAATCTTTTATTGTTCATAAAACTTCTGAATGAATGCTTGTAATTTTGCTTTAGATTTATTGCATATAAAAATTCTTGATTCATACATGAAGTGGACGGCATTTCCTCTTGCATAGTCCTGGGAGATGCTGCATCATGTTGTAATTGAGGTTGTAGTGCAGCTGGTGGAGGTGGCGCTGTTGGAAGTAATTAAGTTTAATAAATATAGTTTGACACTAAAGCTGAAAATATTTTGTTTCTAGACTCGAATCAAAGTTGAATGCTTAATAGTAGATTATCAGTTAAGAGTAAACTTAAATAGTAGGTCAGTTTACATGGCAATAGTTTCCGTATCAACAGCAACAACGAAAAATAAATGCTGTTTATAAGTTCTCATTGATTCTCTGATTGTTTTCATTTAAGTTTTTTGTCATCATGTTTTAAGAGCTTACCCAATCTAAGAATAATGCAGGCTGTATAATTATCAACTCAGAGGTGTGTTTGGTATCAACTGAATTATAGACAAAAAAAACTCAGTAATGGCGGTACACTCAAAATTATTAAAGTTTTCAATGTGTAAATTACCACTTGGTGTTAGATTACTGGGACTCTTCTGTGACTTGGGGTACCTAAAATTGAATACTGCTAATGATAACAAATTACATCAAAAGAGTATATATAATATTAAAAAAAATTGCCGATAACTTTGACCTAAAAGGGGCGAAGAGGCAATTTTTGAGCTCTGATAAAGTCTAAAACTGGGCAGGTGCTGAAGTGTGCAACATTTTGAAAATTTATCGCGCCAAAAGCATTATCCGCGATCTTCCGTCACAACACTAGTTTTATCACTACGTTGCTATTCAATGGGATGGTGAATAATATAATTTCGTTTGCACTCAAGTAATCTGCCATAAGACAAATGTTAAGTTGTTGGGAATTCCTATGATGTTAGTTATCAATATTACCATCCTGATTGCCATATGTTTCGTTCCTTTCAATATTTTTTCGCGGGTACGACAGATTTTTTTTAATGTTACCGGTTCGTAGTCTAAAAAGGTTGGGAACCACTCATATATATATTGCACCAAAATATAGATTACTTCTAGAAAGCCGGCCTGAACTTATTTTTATTGAGGCATTTAATTACCTAATAAAGCGAAACTTCATGCACAACCAAGGAATTAGTTCTTTGAACCAGAGGTTTTGTCTGGTATGTATATGAAACTGAAAACCTCACGTGTTTCTAGAACAAGGATTGTTTAGAAATTACATTCAAATTTTACTCCTAACCTTCAGGGAAAAAAAGCTCGCAGAATGAATATTTCATTTTAAATATAGCCGATTTTACAAATTAAAAAACATACCATTATTGTCATAGTGTAAATGAAGGTTCTGAACATTGTCTGCATGGATGAAATCTGCATGAGCTTGCTGAATGTCACCCACTTGAACTATGTCTGCCTGAGCATGAAGCCGATTCACATTGGCTGCATGCAGTTCATTGATATGTGCGTCTGAAAAAATATGTACATAAATCTTGAATTTACTACATTTCTTATGTTGCTTTGATAAACAATGTCCCTCTATTTATTTTAGAAATACAAAATGGAATTTAAGAATCAAAACTGAAATTTAAATTGAAGCAGAATGTCCCTTACAATGAATTATCCAAAGTAAATTCTAATAAAGCCAAAGTTACTGAAATGAACAAAGTTATTACGAAAACGGATACTAGGCAGCTAGTAATCAAATATCAGACCTAATATGATATAAGTTTTAAAAAATTGTAAATGCGTATTAGAATATATTGCAAGAAATTCAACTAAATCTGACCTCGAATGTTCACAGCATTAGCTCCCTCTTGTGGTTGACCTTGATTTGCCATTTTCAAGACATTTAAACAACCAGTCTAAACATAAATAGATCAACAACGCATTAGGAATTATATTTCTTTCAGTATCTTCATATAAAATGTCGCCCACTTATATACTATTTCCAGAATCTACTTATTCACATCAAATTTTACAAACTCTTTAATCAAGATTTCGACGATTTGTCCATGAAATGTAAAATACTCCCTTAAAACCCAGTCAATAATATTCTTGTTTTTACATGGCATATTTGTAGCATTTTCAAGTAGCAAATTCTGAATAGCTTGGATTCACGAGGCCATATTTATTCAACCAAGACTCGGTTTGTGGTTTATCTTACCGTATATTCCGATAGAAGTGATTCACAGAGTTGGTATTAATCCAAGGTAAATCAATATCTTGAAATCCACTTTAGTGAACGGAATTATTTTAAAACGTGAAAAATCCCATTTCTATTGTAACTATTTCACGTTTTATTTAACCTTCATAGTTCCAATATCTATTGAATATAGAAACACAAATAATTTAGGTTTAGTGTCCAAAATTATATCTAAAACAGAGCTCAAGGTATATCTCAAATATCCCAGTCACAAAATTTACAATCAAAACACTTTTCCATGGCATGCATATCGCCCTTCTGTTAATAAATGATACAACAAAGAATTAAGTTTGGTCACACAGGCCTTTTCCTATTTCTAGATTTATAATGGCAAATAACTCTTTTGCATATCTCATGCAGTGGCTCTCTTGATACTTGTCCTCAATTTGAAAACAAGTTGAAAACAATATATATATTGTATTTGCACTTATCCAAATTGCGTAATAAATTGCTCAGTTTCAGATGGCAAGGTTTAGATATAGTTTCTGGTTCATACAATAGTGAATCCACTTCAAAAATTTAGTAATACCGTAGTATGTGTACCAGGTTAGGCCATATTTTTATTCCGAGTTTCCTAATCTGAGGTCTATTACGAGTTCGGGGACTGTATGTGTTAGCCAAGTGAATGTACCCCTTGTCAACAGGTTTCCGTCCTTTTATACAACTTGATGTGAAGTAGGCGAAAAAATATTACACATACTTCTGCAAACATTTTACTATTTAACAAATTATGACAAAGCTGAGACAAGATTTTGTAAACCAATGAGGCAAGAAAGGGAACTAACAAGTTAACATAACGTGTAAAAAAACCATTGAGAAAACCTCAAAACTCGGATTGGGTGTTCATAAGGTTCTTTTTTATATGACACCGTTTGTGTCCACAGGCATTAAATTGTTGCCCTGAGAGAGTGTATCGAACTCTCTGACATATATAAATGACTTGAGGAATCGACTTAACTGAGATGAATAACTGCGTGCATATATCGCATCACAGGGGAGAATCAACAACTTATGGTAAATACCGTCATTAGTTCCAAATATTTTCAATTAATATTTTCTGTAAATACAGCGATAGATTGCACCATATGTTTCACAGGGTGGGACTTGAAACAACTCGACGCACAATGGGCCCGACTTACATTTCTGAATTTGATACGACTAATTTAACATACAAACAATTGCTATATAAACACAGGCAGTAGATGTGTGACACTGTTAGAACTATGCGCGAAAATAATGTGAATACATAGCAATTGGCTGAAATCATGATTCCAATATTCTGTATTTAATCAAAGAGCGGTTAACCGTTTATATGTTGTTCTATGCAAAGAGTGGTTTGATTTACCGCAGTATTACATAGGACGGACGGAAGGACAGAACAAGGATAGTAAGACACTAGCAAGAAACAATAATATAATTTTTTTTTGCGTCGTCTCGGCTACTATTTAGTAAGATTATATAATCCAAACCCAAAATGTGAAATATTTAATGTTCACGTTCTGTCACGTTCGATTCGCATCACAAACCAATGAACGAATAGTCGTGTTGGACAACAACAATATTTTTGGTTTATTTACGACCTCATGGCATAAATCATAACTCCTCTCGGTGGAAATATTAAACCTCGATAGAGTGTTCAAAGATTTTCTTTCCTCGCCATAGCAACTCGTTGCCAACGATCAATCGCCCATTCCCCGCAGAAACTCGAGACCCAAAAGCAACTCAACAAACAATTGATTCCACTCGAATTACGAAATTTAACCCGGAACAAGCGTTACTAAGCACGCTTTGTACTTTTTACATTTTGATTAGACGCACATGATTAGAGAATTCGTAAAACGAATTGTGATACTTTTAAATAAAAGAAAATAAACAATATTAGTATTCATATCGGCTCTCACATTTATCAAAATATATCGCACGGATTTTAAGCCCTATCTTGTTTGATAGGGGGGTATTTTTTACAAAGCTAATGCCCCGCAACTAATGCAAAAATGTGATATTTCAGAGAAAAAACAATGGGCCCGCCTTACGCTTCTAAATTTGATTCGGCTAATTAAACATAAAAACAATTGCTACATCAACACAATTAGATATCTCGGATTGAGGCAAAAGTTGTGAGACACTGTTAGTATTATGTGTGAAAATACTGTGACTATCTAGCAATCATGCAGTGGCGCTGAAGTTACCATTCTAATATTTACTATTATTCAAAAAGTGGTTTCCGTTTATGTTTTGTTTAATCAAAGAGTGATTTATTTTACCGCGTTTTATTACATATTCGTCCGGTCAGCTCTTTATTAAGCGTTTTTAAACTAATAAAAGAGAATCGGAACACGGGCAAATCCTTAAGTCAAAATGAATGCATCGATTCGCAGCACAAACCGATGAACGAATAGTCGTGTAGTACAAAAACAATATTTCCGGCAACTTCACGACCTCCACGTTCTGAAAAATTCCAAACCCCACTCGATGGGAGTTTTAAACCTCGATGGAGTGTTTAAATAGTTTCTTTCTTCACTTATATTGCCATAGCAACTCGTTGCCAATAATGAATCGCCCATCGCAGAAAATCAAAACCCCAACAACTCAACAAACAATTGATTCCCCTAATATTTCGACATTTAATCCGTAAAAAGCGTTACTCATCACGATTTTACTTTTTGATTAGTCGCACAAACTTAGAGAATTCGTAAAACGAATTGTGATACTGAATTAGTTAACAAAATATCGGACCCACTCAACGCAATTTTAAAGTATCGTTCGAATATAGAGAAACGTGAATTTTTTTCTTTCTGAAATATAGTTGATTTGGAAGTGTATCGAAAGCTTTGATAGGCTACTTATGGTCGAATTGGAAGAAATCAACATGACCGCGATGAATCTATGTATTATATTACAGGAGAGAAAACAAATACTCTTATGGTAAATACCCCGATTGTACCATGTTTCACAACTCACTCAGCGCGCGTTGTACTCTTACTTTTTGATTAGGCGCACAAGATTCGAGTGTTTGTAAAACCAATTGTGATAAATTTAATTTGAAAGTTTGAATTTCCTGCCAAATCTACAATCTTAACCCTAGCAGCATAATTACTAATTTTCTTATTTTGAGCGTTGGCGCGGTTTTGTACAAAAGATCCGAATACAAAACAATTATTAACGGTGAATTAGTGGACTATATATCGGACCCGTTCGACGTAATCACAAAGTAATCTGGCTTTGCATATTCTTGCTCACAAGAGCCTCCAAGTGTTCTATTGAAAAATTACCGTTGCTTAGAAACACAAGTAAAAAAAAATAAAATGACTCGATATAATTTTTGTCAAACAAGACGATTCCTATAGAACTTTGGGAACCTTTACGGCTAAAAACATCGTTCGAATATAGAGAAACGCTAACTGTAGTGATCTCAATTCAGTGTAAAGTTATAGTTATTAAAATAGCTATCAATGAAAGGCATAATTGGACAAAAAGGTACAGATGGATTGTTGTCGATATTGTTTTTGTCGCAGTTGATTCTATTGTGGTAACTGATATTTTTTGCGCTAAAATTTGAGCATTGCCCTTTTTTTCGTGCGAATCGGCGAACGTGTGGCGAGTAAAATTTTACTAGATTGTACATGTTACATATATGGTACATGAATGGCAAGATTAGAACAATTCTACAAATAATTACCCGTCTAATATCTCTAAACCCAGCCTTATGGAGGAGGTTCTAATCAACTAATCATTTTACACGTAAAAAGTTAGTTATTACTGTTCGAGTGATGAAAGATTGGAATGAAATCTTTAGTTGAAGTTGAAGACAACATTTTAACTAAGGCCATTGTGCTCACACAAGTCACACTTTCCAAACGGCCAATACAGAATCGAAAGTTACTCTTTTTAAAGTATTGTTGCCCTGGAAGTGTATCGAACTCTCTGATACACATGGATGATTGAAGGAATCGACATGATTCCTATTAATGCCTGTTTATTAATTAAGGGAAAAACACAAACACTACTGTGGTTAATACCCCGAACAGTTCCAATTATTTTCCATCAATATTTTACCTAATTATACCTAGATTGCACCATATGTTTTACATGACGGGACAACTGGACGCACAATGGGCCAGAATTGCATTTCTAAATTTGATAGGACAAAATAAAAATACAAACAATTGTTACTTAAACACAATGCTATTTCTCTGATTGAGGCAAAAGTTGTGTGACACTGTTAGTATTATTCGTGCAAATACTGTGAATTTCTAGCAATAGTACAATGCCGCTGAAGTCATCATTCCGATATTCTGCTCATAGGGTGAAGGTTAAAATGCGGTGAAATATTTTGTGACACATTTAATTTGAAAATTTGAATTTCCCGCACAATCTGCATTCCTAACCCTAAGAGAATAATTACTAATTTTATTATTTTAAAAGTTGGCGGAGTGTTCTGTTTTTGGCGTAGCTTTGTACGAAAGATCCGGAAGGCGAGTTTACAAAACAGATCTTTAACGGTTAATTAGTTGACTATATATTGGACGCGCTTGACGCAATTACAAAGTAATCTGACTTCCATATTCTTGCTCCCGAGAGCCCCCGAGTGTTCTGTCAAACAATTACCGTTGCTTAGAAACACAATTAAAAATAAAATGACTCGATATAATTTTTGTCAAATAAGACAACCTTTAGTAATTTTACTTGGGTAAGTGATATTTTCGCGCCAAATTTGAACATTGCTGTCCTGTATTTTAAATCAAGAACACGGCGAACGCGTGGCAAGTTAAATTTTACTAGATTGTATATGTTATATAAATGGTACATACATACGTTATATAAATGGTACAATCTCAAAATAACTACCCGTCTAATATTCCAACTCCAGCCTTATAAAGAAGGTTCTAATAAACACGTAAAGAATTACTATTTTTTAAAGAAATAAAGGAATCTGTTTGGATGATGGAAATTAAACAAAAAGCTTTAAACCTCAATGGTGTTCACAGAGTTTAGGTAACCATAGGAACTTGTTTCCAATGACAAATAGCTAAGTCACAATCTAACTAGTTTGGCATAGTTTGGTTTATTTATGGCTCATACTCATGCCTCATTTGA